GAATGCCCTTTAAATGTAACTGTTCTGCATGTTAAAATGCAGATCTCTATTCTCAAAAGTCTTTAATAAACAAAATAGAGATATGTTATATTCATTAAAAAGATAAACTGCTGACTGTATTGTAATAAAGGGCATTTTGCCATTGAGTTGGATTAAACTAGGCTTTTAGCCAAGCATACTCAGGAAAAGTTTAAATTCCCCAAGTGTTTAAAATATTTGGGTTAAACTGCTATATTGGTGCAAAGCAGCATAGTGGGTGGTCAACACAAGTCCCACAAAATATAGCAGCACCCAGAAGAAAATTTCTTAGAGAGACATACTCATTGTGTGTTCATGCACTCAAGGAGGTTAATGGAGCTAGGGTCCCCCTGGGGGAAAGGGCACTGATGCTTTCCCTGGATCAAAAAGTAAGTGGAGATGGGCATGTGTGTGTGTGCGTTGTGTGTGTATCCCTTCCGAAATGACACGCTTCACCAAAAGCTGGAGTGCTCACAAAACTAACCCCACTGTAGCACCTTGATCGACAATAGCATGTGCTGATGGAGTGTGGCTCCCCAAAAAGTTTCATCTTCCTGCCAACTCCATTCCAACCCTTTCTGTCATCAGAGAGGAAACGATAACTACTGTGGTGAAGAGTCCAAGACAAAGGGGAAGGGTTTCTCCTGCACGTTCTTCTTCAGGTCATTCACCTTCCCGCTCTCCGAGAGCGGAGCCAACTCCAGAGCCAGTCTATGTTTCAAAGATCAGGCAGCCTGTCCACAGATATGAGCAGGAGGCAACACCGAAGTCTGCTGTTCCCATGCTTTTTGTCACAGAACCAGAGGACAAGCAAGGAGCAGCAGTAAGAGATTTCACCAAAGAGACCAAGGTGGAAGAGAAAAAGCCCAAATGGGTTGAAGTGGAAGAAATAATTGAATTCAAGGTGAAAAAGTCACCAAAACCTGCAAGGAAAAGAGGCTCTTCCCCAGTAAAACAAGAAAAAGATGAATCAGGGGTGTTGACATTCACTTTTCCTAGTCCAAGGCCTAGGCATTCCCCAGAAGATGATCCAAACACAAACAATTCCAACAATAAATTGGTGGAACAGTCAAAATCTTTGCCTAATGACAGTCTCTCTGAAGCTGATATCCAGCCCCTGGTGTATGCAACTGAAGAGGAAGAACCTCAAGTCAGCAACGAAGACAGAAGCTTCCCTTGTGGGTCCGAACAACTAGGAAATAATTCATTTATAGACTATGGAACAGAAGGAAAGAGCCTCCCACAGGAAACAAGTGCTCACTATAGGTCAGATGTCAGTTCCCCTCTGCTTGCCTGTGGGGGTGAGCCTTTGATCTTCAGATTTGAGACAGCTGCTGCAGACCAGCACGAACTTCTGTTCTCACTAGTGAGTCCAGAGGTTAAGGAACAGGCAGATGAATTAGGCATATCTTGGCCTGTTGAAGAGGAGGTACCCGAAGTAATGCAAGATGTCCTTCCGGAAGAGGATAATGTCATTATAGTAGATGAACCAGAGGAGCTACGGGCAGATGACATTAGCACCCGGGACCGCAAAATCTTAACCCACAATGGAAAATTACTAACTTTGGAGGACCTTGAAGATTATGTTCCTGAAGAAGGTGAGACCTACGGGTGTGATGACAAGAACTGTACGGCAGAGAAACCCTGCGAGATCTCTGTGCTCCAGACAGAGATTAACGAGCCAACGATTGGAAAACCAGTGCTGCTGAATCTGGGGAGACCTATGGTCTCTGAGCCCAGGCAAAGATTTTTCAGCCAGTTGGAGGAGCACATTCCTGGGGGCATGTTCATGTCAGCATCTAGAGTAACCGGCGTGCAGTCTGTAGGCCCCTCAAACATCTCTTTCCATGTGAGTGATACCTGCATGTCAGCGACACCCGGAGTGCATGCAGCAACAGCAGCAGCTTCTCCTGGTCCCTCCTTCACAGTGAAACCATCTTTCTGCACTGGAGTCCAACTCTCAGCAGACAACGGACAGTCAAGCTTTAAAACTGAAGTTTCCACAAGAACTCTCAGCTATGGGACTGTTGGTGAGCCTGTTACCTTGCACATCAGCACAGAAGACCTCTCCCAAAGCTGAACAGATGCAAGCATAATTTTCAACACAAAAGAAAGCAGCATTTTAGAAAAAAGAACTGATCAAAATTGTTGTAGGTGAGGGGAATTGGTGACAAGAATTACAAGGTAACATGTACAAGGGAATACCTTTGAGGAAAATATATTTAAATATGTTATGTTGAGCTTTTCCAGTCTTAAAGGGAACATGTTTGTCAGAACAGTTTGTAATTTTAAAAGTTTTGATCGAGGTCAACATATATCATTCCATAGTGGAGCAGTGATGGTAGGTTTAGGAAAAGTCTGATTCTCCTGCCTATGACAGAAATATAAATGAATGAGCGCGGTTTTGTCCATGACCTAAGAAATTATTTCAAGTGCAAATTTGTACATTATTTTGTCAAGAAGGTGAAAGTATCTAAGCTTTTTAGCATCCTTCAGCAGCCCAGGATAGGAGGACTGTTTCCAGCTAAAGCCATCTCCTGTCGCTCTGTGTGCCCAAAGGACATGAAGCTTCACACTGTCTTGACCCTACTATACACTTTTGACACCGATTAGCTCTAACAAATCTTATTCATAAACCTTTCAACATGCATAGTCTGGTTACATTATTTGAAACTTCTGCCACAGAATGAAAAATATAGAAAATACTGCATTTACTCAGGATGCAAAGGGCTGCTCAGATCTTTTGGCTGAATTTTGGCTAAACTCAGTGGTGGAAGTTCCACTGTCTGAAGAAGCAAGGGTTTTGTTGTTCTCTTCTACTTTAAGCAAAAAAACCCTCTTGTCTTGTTTAAATGACTGCTATTTTCAAGTCCACTTCCTAGTTGTCTAAAGATGCAGGTTTTATTATTCTGCATCCTAGTGTAGTGGATTTTTAAACCATATATTTTAAAATACAGATTTACATAATGTGCACCAAAAGATTAAAGTGCTGCACAAAATGACTTCTGCATATATTGATAACACAAAGAACCACAGATGTGGTCTTTGTCAAAAACTATTACTGGAAGAATATTTCGTCTCCTGGACATGCCAGTGGTGAAACATTACTGTTAACAGATCGATGGATAATGTCTGCTGTATGCGCTAAGAGGAATTCACCACTGAGTTCCACCAAAGTAGCGGGAGCAAAAAGACAGTTAAAAAAAAATAAAATAAAAAAGAAAATAATTCTTTACTATAAATGCCTGGCTGAAAAATACATCTGTTCAAAATGTATTCAGCTGCTTGGAGGCACTACCAGTTGCAATTGCATCGTATTACTGTAACCATATAGGCTGACTTGTTTTCTAGAGGTCCTGCCTTCTGCTGAGTTTCTCTGGAGCTTTGCAGTGGAATCACTGATTGAGGGAAAGGCTAAGATGCACAGAGCATGGCCCATTCCTGTTGGCTTCACCAAATATGGATGTTGCACAGACCTTCAAGTTGCTCAGCCCTGGAAAAAAATGAAATCATAGGCCCAAATATTGGTCCCAGTTGAAGTCAGCTGAAGAGTTTGTCATTGATCTCAGTAGGACCAAGCACTGGCCCTCTTTATCTGGCAAAGATACGGGGTGAAAATTCCCGATACCTTGTCCCAGCTGAGTTGTGTAGAACTGCTGCAACAGAAGATGTTCTCCTTTAGATGG